TGTGTGTGCATGTGTGTGTGCATGTGTGTATGCGTGTGTGTGTGTTTGTAATATACAGTCGAACCTGTCATGACGGCCACCTTTATAAGACGTCATCCTGTACTAACGGTCACTTTCCATTTCCTCTCTTACGTTTTTTCTATATAATTTACCTGTGTAAAACGGGCACCTGTCCTACAAGGCCGCGGCCACCCTATTTTATCAACCCACGACCACATCTACCTGCCTAAAACGGCCAGACTTTGTCAAAAATTACACATTTCCCCATGACGTTGTCGACAAGTCGTCAGCATTCATTCACCTGTTGTTATTGTCAGTCCTTCCAATGGATGAAACGGTCATGTTGCTTAGGTCACTCCCAAAGTTTACCCAAGTTGACCAATGGGTAACAATGCATTTTCAGCTGCTGGTAAGGGAAGCGTGTGATCCGTCATCACCTATAAGGCCCGCCCACAACTCAGTCTGTAAATCAAGTCCATAACAATTGAAGTCAACACGAACTCGCGACAGAAGTTTTGCTCGTTCACGGAGTGGTGGCGACCCATTTATTTGTTTTACTATGACACTTGGCCTTCCTCGTCTGAAACATAGTTTTGTTCCCGGAACCATAATCTAAAAATACAAATAAAACTAACAACAAAGTCCCACAAAAACCGCCCTATCCTCTCCTCCCTTTAAAAAAAAATACAACAGCAACAACAACAGCAACAACAACAACATAATATTTTAATCAGCCCTAGGGCAGTCCTAAGCATGCAACCACCTCCAGTTGGGACCTCAGGAGTAAAAGGATTTTTTTGATGGTTTTTTTTCATCATCAGTCCTGCCTAAGATGGCCACCTGTCTTATATACGGCCTATTTTCCCCTCGACAATGGGTGGCCGTCTTACACAGGTCGACTGTATATCGTGGGTGTGTTTGTGTATGTGTGGTTGTAAATAGACAGAATGATAGCAACAATGATGGAAAATAATTAAATATCATAATTTTTCTTTTCTGTCTCCTTTTATCCGTTTAAACAACAAAAAAAGAAAGAAGTAGCCTAGCCACTTTCTTGATGCTTAGAATTTGTTTTTGACTTTTACTGTTCAGTAAAGGAGGGAAAAGATGGGGAGAGGGGGAGAGGGGGAGAGGGTCAGCTCTTTGCGTCTTTCGTTCACATAAGAATCAATGCATTACTAACAGTATAGTAGACAGTCTCAATGAGTCAGGACTTTGTGTTTTCTCAAGATTCAAAAGTTCTTTGGGTATGTCCAAGATTCAAAATAGTTCTCAAACCAATCGATCAGTCAATGTATATTTGTTTCTGGTCTCCAGCTAAATCTCGTGTGTGGAAACAAGATATTCAGATCTCACTCCAACATGCTTATGTTTGCTGGAAAGTTCCTCGGTGCCATCAGCCAAGGATTTGCGAGTGACAAGTAAGTTCAAAACAATCATCATCATCATCATCATCATCATCATCATCATCATCATCATCATCATCAT